AGCTGCACCCTGTGGGAACAGGTGCAGCATGGACAGGTTGCTGACAGAAGCCAGTAAAACAAGTGTTGGAATTCTGGGCTACCTGTTTGGGGATACCTGGGCCCAAACAGGCTTTCCACACTTCAAGACTCCTAGGGTCAGGACCTCTTTGCACAAGCTAAGGGGGACTTTTAGCTGTATGCAAGGACATTTGCTGGTAGCTGTAGCTGTGTCTTCACAGAGAAGACAGAATGAGCATAGCAGAAACTAACTTCATTAATAGTTGGGACCATGTGGTGCTGTGTACTGTGTCTGTTGACATTAATGCACTCTGAGTGGATCAGGACTCTTTTTAACTATTGGGTGCTGCTGAGCCTCAGATGGATGATGACTTGATAGGACTTCATCTGGCACACAGGGACTGCATCTAAAGAATGGTTGATAATGAGCCTACCTGTGCTTAATTCCAAATTTGTGGAACTGTCCCAGGAAGCAGGGAACCTTGGTCAGGAACCCTCAGCCTCTCAGGCCCTTTATCTTGGAGCATATGCTAGTGATAGCCGAAAGATAGTCTGTAGTTTCCAATGGAGTTTGTAGTTGGATTCCAGACCCTGGAGGGGAAGGTCCAGGCTTCTGATTCTGAAATTCATGTGGTATTCCCCTGTCACATGACATACTTAGAATTTAGGCTATATAACACATAGTAACAGATTTGTGATAGCGCTTGCCTGATTTGACTAGGTTTTAGACCTGTGAAAAGGCACACAAAGATACGGGTACAATGCCTCCATTGGCATCATACTCAGTAGTTGGTCTGATTTGTAAGCCCAAGGCTTCAAGAAGGTAGTCTTGATCAATTTTTGTTTCAGAAACTCACTTTTAGGCAGTTTCTAGCTGCCTGTCAACTTTTTCCTGGGCAGGTATTGCCATTACAGGGACTGTGTGGTCCTCTTGATTTCTCCACAGTCACCTGAAGGCTTCTAACACAGACAGGGGTTGTAGAGTTCTATCTGTTTCAGCCTAAGTGTTCTGCTGAATTTCAAATACTTCTTGCTTGTAGGGAGATAACCTGGGCATCAGCTGCATTTGAATAGTGCTCAACATTGTTGAGACAAATAGGCAGGTGTGGAGAACTGAGAAACAAAAAACAGGATGTCTTTAGCCATAGCTGGACAGGAAATTCTGCCTATATCCCTAGCTGTAGCTGGACTGAAAGCACAGGAAATAACAAGCCACTGTAAAGCTCTGACTGCAGTAGCTTTCCCAGGAAATGATGGGACTCCACTGTTCACCAAGAATCTCAAGCTGCTGCTGAACTGCAGCTTTCCCGAGATAAAAGGAAATTCCCTTGTCCACCAGAAATCTCTATCTGCACCTGGACCACAACTTCCCCAGGATATTTGCAAGGAAACATTAGTGTGCCTGTGCTGGGAATCACTATGTGCTGACCCAGCAACTCTAGGGGAGCTGAACAGTCAGTGCCCTGGTAGAGCCCTATACAAAAGCACCAGCATCCAGAGACTGTGTGTGCACCCACCACCGAAGAAAAGACCTCTACTGTTCATCAGAATGCTGCTGGATCCATGGTGGTGACTATCCCTACTTTTGCATCTCAAATCTTGCTTACTTCCCCCTTTCCTGTTTCTGACTTTATCACCCCTTCTCCTTGTTGTGTGACCAGTAATAAAATCTCACTCAACGGTAGTATCAGACCTTGTTTGTGCCTTAATTTCACATTGGGGAATCAGTCAAACCGTCCTGTGTCTTACCAGACCAGCACAGCAGGGTAACCTTCCCTTCATGCATATATCTTTCTGACTTTCTCTAATCAAACAAGGGAACAGGTTAGTTCCATAAGAATATCTGGCACCCACAGGCTGGGCATGGCCCTGAAACAGTTCAGGCACCTGCTGCAAGGCTGAGGCCAGTCATAATGCCATGTGTTGAATCCCTCTGTTGACACTGGAGTGGGGATACTTTATGCAGCCTGGTCAAGTTAGATTGGGATATAGTAACAGACAGCAGACCAGCAGCTTTAGGGATGAACCGTTTATCTCAAAATAGCAACGGTACAGTCACAAATTTCAATCAGTAATACACTAATCAGGGGCAAAATGACATTAAAGCCAGTAATGCACTAATACTGGGATAAACTTAATTCAGTAAATCCATCTTAATCCAAATCTTAATATTGGAGTCTGCAAAGATTTGCATGAGCATGGTTATCAGGCAGGCAGGCCATCAGGAAACAGGGCAGGGCTTCTTCAGATGAGCAGCTCCTCCAGCCAATGGATCTTGGGGAATTAAAATTTTTCCCAGTCTGACTGTCTGGCTTTTGTTGTTGAGTCATGACGTGCTATCTGGACTTGCTGTTTAGGCATCATATCCCACCTCTGCTTCATTCTGTGCTGCTTCTTTCCTTTCTGTCCTCAGAAATACCATGTAATACAATACTAACCCCACATTTCTACCTCTTTCTCAGGAGACTCAGTGGGGAAAAGCGTGGTCATAGTGACCTGGCTGCATAATGCCAGGGCTCATGTCTATGCTACACATCCCTCTAAGGGTGTCAGGTGCAGAGAAGAGTTTGGTCAAGGAGTCTCTTTGTAGTTTTTCTTTGAAGTGGGAATACTGTGTTCTTTTCAGAAATTGTGCAATCTCAAATGACTGCAGCTGAAAAAGCAGAGGTGTAGAAGAGAGAGCTCGTAGGAGTAAAACTGGATGTTGTCCCAGAGGATTGATCTGTTCTGGTTGTTACAGAGTTCTCATGGGAAGATAAGGAAAGTGATGCAACAAAGTGCATTGCAGATGTTGTCAGACTTGTAGGTTTCATGAGCTTTTGCACAGAGCTCCAGCTTCTGCCTGTGCAACCTACTGACCATGAAGTTGCAAAGGTTAAGCAGGAAAGGTTGCCCAGCCATGCCTGAGGGTGAGTGAACAGGAGTCTCTGGCGGTACGGAAAAGGAAATGGACTGGATGGAGAAGTCTGGATGTGGGCATTTTAGCCACATAGATTTGTTGAAGAGCTGTGATGTTGCTTCTGCATTCCATGTGGGTGTCTCTTCATTCTCTTTCTATGTGCTGTCAATCAGAAATTGACAGTTGCTGTGTTGTAGTTGCTGAAGATTTCTGAGGCTTGTGATCCAGGTGAGAAAGTAGATGGAGTGAAGCAGGCGTGTGTGAGGAATAGTCTTGTTTTATCTCAGAGTCTTGTACTGGTACTGAACATTTTCCTAAGACAAGGACTTTCTGTCAAATACCACTATTTAAAATAGCATATTTCATTGTATTAAAGTTTTACAGGAACTTTTAAGGTTGTGATTAAAGTTGCAAATTCAATTTTCTTAATCTGTGTAATAATGATGATGAACTAAGATTGTACTCATTTTTACGGTCTTGACAGTGGTGAGAATTGTTACTTTGCTCTTGGTGGAATTGTGTGTTGCCTGTAGCCTAAGTTCCTTCTCTAGCAAAGATTTTACAGTTACTACTGGTTGGCATCTTAGTCTTGTTTGCCTACCTCAGTCATGTTGCTAGAAAATGTAAATATATTAAGTTGCTTCAGCAGTTATTTAATTCAAGGACATAGTTGTTTTATCCCCTGATTATTTTTCAGGAACTGTCCAGTGTACCATTAGCAGTCTGAAATCTTTGCCTTGGATGTAGAAGTGTGTTTTGTCATCTAAGATTCCTGCATCACTGTGAGTACTGCCTTAACACTGATGTTGATGTCTTTTTACAAATTTCATACGCAACTTTGTTTTCCAGTTTTCTTTTGTTACTGGTGTCCTGTGAGAGCAGAGAATGTAAAGATAGAGCTATCTTTGAATCTTGAAAATAACACCTGGAAAATGGTAACACTGGGTCGTACAGATGAGCTGTAAGTGATGCTTCTGATTCCCAAATTTGAAATCAGGAAGGAAAGTCAGGAGCCTTGGGTGAACCGGGAGAAGTGGCACAAAACATTTTGAAGTGGCACAAAACATTTTGTCAAGAAGTTGTCTTAACACCCTGCACAAAGAGAAGTGTTTATTCTGGCCTACCTGGGTTTGACCATACTGAGAAGAACTTGTTGAAATGCAGACAGTCATGGGGATTTTTGTGCTTTTTTGAAGACTGGGAAGACCTTTGAAGACTAGTGTTTGGCTTTGAAGACATTGTCTCTAACAACTTTACAGAGGTCTTTCAGAAGTAACATGCTCACCCAGTTGGGCTTGTTGGTCATTGATGTCCATTCTGGAATATAACACATGAACACTTGGAGATTTGTGACTTGGTCACCTCCTGAAGGTTTATGTGCTGCAGTAGCAGAAGTGATGCTGTCATCTCCATGCTTCATGCCTTCTCCCAGCTGCATAAGTTAACACTACCAACAGAATTAGGGGTGCTTTGCTTGTAGCTCACTGGAGGCAGAGGCATATTTCTCAAAATTAAAATAAAACCTAGTGTGCCACATTATTATAAGAGACTTTTACTGAACCCAAATTAATTTTTTCATTTATTTTGTTGTATTTGAAGGTAATATGGAAGTCGAGTGTTGACTGAAAACTCTGGCCTGTATTTTATTTTGAAGGTGCTTCTTTGTGCTCAGCTCTTAAACATTGCCTACTGTGTCACATTATACAAAAAACTTGAGTTTTTTTCCATTGTTTTGGAGTGAGAAGGTAAATAGAGCAGTCTATCATTAGATTAAAAAGTTGAATGATAATAAAATTAGCAGAATAATGTGAGGATTTCGTTAGTCATTAGAGAGTCGATAGAATTGTCACTTGCTGCACTTTTTGTACCTTAAGTGTGTTCTGGGAAATAATTTATGCAACTTGACACTGACAGCAGTGATGTCCCCGGGATGTGCCAGTGGGATTGCTCTCCTGCCTAGCAATTAAATTTCAACAATTCTGTTCGTAATGCATTGTAAATCACTTCTTAGTGAAACTGGTTTTGATCAAAAGGTTAAGGTTGTAATTATTTCAAATTTTTTTTTAAAGCATTTTGCCTGAAGAAAAAGAAATCGTGGGAAGATGGACTGGACTATAGGACCACTCCAGAATGCTGGTACAAATCCAAACCCACCAAGTGAAGCATCATGTTGTACTCAGTTGCTTTCTAATGAACATGTCTTTCCTCAGACAAATGCCAATTCCTCTAAAAATACATGTGTTTATGTTGGAAATAACCAGCTCATGTATTTGCCGACTAGCAGTGTTGCCTTCCCTCTTGCAAATGCCGAAGGATTCAGAACTTCAGATCAGACTTTGCCAGAAGTATCTGTAGCTGGTAATAATTTTTTTACATCAAAATTTGCAGTTAAACGATATCCACAGATGCCCATAGCTCCGAAACCTCCCATTCAGAAATCACATTTGCCAGCAGAGATGACTCAGACTTCTTGGCCAATCTCTAATGCCCATGCTTATTCCTATAGAAATTTACCTCCCCTGTCTTCTCAAATGAGTACCGGGAATAACGTAAGGAATGTACCTTGGGAACCTCAGTATGTTGCTACAGACACTTACACTCTGCAGCCACAAATACTGCAGCATAATTCTATGAGACCTGCACCGTTATATCAAAGTGGTATTCCTTCCCAGAATAATTCTCTCTCTCTTGGTACATCCGGGCAACCTGTCCAAACCCAAACGTTTCATTCCAATACTCAGTATAAAGTTTCGCACTCACTCAATCAAAATACCGAAACAAATGTACAACCTCCACAATATCAACCAAGTCAGATGGGACCAGAAGTTCCTAGCAGATGTTCTGCACCATCTTTGTTGCCTGCCAACTGTGTTTCAAGAGCTGCAGCACAATCTTCAATAGGTCTATTACAGGAAGTACAAAACGTACCTAGTGGATACACGCTTAGCCAACAGAGGTGCCCATCAGATCCAAAAAATGCTTCTGGTTTTAACAGTATTCAGCAACACTGTCAGAAGCAGCAATCTGGGGAACTCAGTCAACCAGTCTTGAATGTCAGTAATTCAAGTGGAAATGTGAATCAGTCTTTTAATGAAATGTCTGTGCCATCCCCTGCTGTTCCCAAAGAACTGTTTGATATTGTGAAAGAAATAGAAGCTTTTTCTTCAAAGCCACCGTGTGATCCTGCTTCAGTTCAAGAAAGCCAGACTAATAGTTTAACGAATGGGCCTGTTAATTCTCAAATTTCTTCAGCAGCAGCTGATGAAAGAACGTTTGCAAAGTCCAGACTAGCTTGGGAAGTTAAGAGGCAGACCAGTGTTAAAAACAAAAGGGCCCTGCTTGAAAAGATTCAGCATTATAGACAGAAATTCTTAGCTTCAAAAAATGAAAAAAGTACTCTCCCTCCTCCTCCAAGTTATCAGTGTGCTCTTGCTAATTGTCTTCCACGGGTGCCCAACCAAAATGTGCCACCTTCCACATCTGAAACAGTGGGGACAGAGAGTCCAATGCTTAAGATTTCACATGAAGAAAGAAAAGTGCCTCAAGGTAACCCTCAGGTGGAGCAGGGAAGCCTTTCATCAAGCTCTGCTCCTATTCTCTCTCAGAGCAAACTCCCAGCTCAATTAAACAATCTTGAGAGCATTTCCACCTTGGAACAAAGGGATGCATATGCCTTGGCTTCTCCTGGAGAAACCGTGACTGCTTCAAACAGTGCTTCATGTTTTAGTCAAGCAGGTGGCTCTGACACAGTTGCATCAAAGAGTGTGCAACACTACCCTGAGAACTCATCGTTTTTTCAGTTTGTACTGAGCAGCACAAATATATTGAAAGAGAAGACAGCTGGTGCTACTGCTGATAAAATACTGACTAGTCTCCTGTCTAATGAAAAAACACTGATCGATACATCTGTCTCTGGTGGAAGCTTGCTAAAAGACAATGGTGTGAAGAATGTAGAAAGTTTGAAAGGTGAGAAGGCATCTATGGTTAACACAAACTCTCCTGTATCAGAAACAACTGGAGCTGGTGAAGCTAAATTCCAGAGTGAGGTAGCTCAGAAAATGATGCCATTTACTGAAGATACATCCCATAAACAAAGCAATTGCAGTTACTCTGTGGAAGAGCTATCTGCATGCCTGAGCTTGGGGATGAAGCATTCATCAGACTCTCTAAGTGTGCAAAATAGCCAGTCAAATGAAAGCCCCACAGCAAATCAGATTTCACCCAACAGCCAAAACACACAGAAAAGAGAACAAAATGATGTTCTGCTTGATATGGGCGAAGCAGTTTTACCTATAACAACTACCTCTGTAGAACAAAAACTTGATACATCAAGTTCCAATTTGGTAAAGAATTTTGAACCTCAAGTTGCAGTTGTCTCTCCTTTAGTACTTTCTGGACAAAGAACAGAGAGTGAGCAGGCAGATGAAATTCCAACATCTGAAGGTAAAACCTGTCCAGTGATCGACTCGGGAAACATATGTAGCTTGCAAGAATGGGGAAGAAACGGTTTAAGTGTGGTAAATACTGGCAAAGGAGCAAGAGAAACTGCTTGGTCATCATCCAGTGGTTGTGTTCTGGAAGAGAAAGTGGACTCACATTTGCCACAGATCAAATCAGGTGGTGAAAACAGAATAGTAAAAACCAGTGTAAATGATTCATATGATGAAAACCAAAAGAAAGTTAGTCAATCTGCACAAGATTCCAGAGAAAATCTGAAGCTTGGATTACAAACCAAACCTTATCTTCCTGAATCAGGCATAAATTTTCCTAGTAAAATCATGCAAGAAGATGTAATAGTCCATAGAACTGTATTAGAGACAGGTGATACATCCACAGCTGTGCTGGAAAATCAGATGTTTTGTATTTCTAGTGTATGTTCTCTTGTTGAAGGTGATACATTTTATAATCCACAAATAGCAGGTATCTTCAGGTCAGTCTATGAGACACCTGCATCAGAAGGAAAGGCATCTGATAAAAAGCAAAAGGACCAATTGCGGGACATGTGTAAAAATGAGCTGAGCAATAACACTCTCCTAAGAGAAAGTTTGCTGCAGAAGATGTTGGAAGAATCACCAGGCTGCATGAGTAAAGCAGATAAGATTTTGCATGGTATCACAACTAGTCATGTGGAGAAAGAAAGCAGTGGCAATCCTGTTAAAACAGTTTCTACCTCCAAACGAAAAATGTCACTCAAGGCATCTCTCAAGAATCCTGAAAATAACTTAGAAAGTCTTGCTAATACAAACCAGAAGTTAGCTCATAATTCACTAGATGTGTCTATTGATATAACTGGTGAAACAAATGCATTCACTGTTCCAGAAGACCAGAATAAACAAAATTCCATGTCCAGTAAAAAAAGCACAGAAAAAGAGGTGAGCTCTTCTGGAGCAGAACCTAGTCATTATCTAAGCAATCAGCTGTCTGAACTAATGAAAGAGTTTCCATGTGGCATTGAAGTTACTGATATGCTAAGGAAAGAACCAGCAAAAAATTATTCAGTAGCTGAGGGGAAGGTGAATCGACCTCATAAAGAGATTAAAATTAGTGACAAGAGTTCTCATTTGAAGGACCCAGTAGATCAGACAAAATTTGCAGTGTTAAGTTCCGGTCAGATTCAAGAACTGTTTCCTGAACAGAACCAGTGTCCATCTAGTGACAGCAAGAAAGCAGCAAGTCAGCAGTCAGAAAAGGCTTCAGCTGAGAAGGAGAATGTTGAAAGCAGTGTCCATCCTACTGAGAGTCTATGTGAGAAGGAAAAAACCCCACAAGAAACCTCTAGCCCTAGGGAAAAAAAAGAAGAAGATTGTTCTTTAGCGGCTTGTCTGTCTGCAGCATCTGAAATGCCACATTGTCCCTGTATATTAGGAGCATCTGGCTCAGAGAAAAATGACTGTCAGCTTTCAAAAGCTGAAAACAGTAGCTCTTCAGAGAAACAAGAAAACAACAGTAAATCCGATGCCCTACTAGAGAAACACTGTACAGTGGTAAACCTGACAACTTCTGAAAAAATCACAGACAGTATCAACAAAAATGAAAAATATACTTGCGATGAGCATTCAATGAACACCTCTTCAATGAACATAAAAGCTAGGCCAAAGGTGAATAATGAATGCCAGCTGCTTGCAACACAAGAAGAAAAAATTGGACCTCTGAATTCCTCTGAAAACCAGGATGCTGACAAATATCAAAGCAGTAGCTGTGAGAAAGAGCTGCAGATTGACAAAGAAGGCCCATTGTCAGGCAAAGAATTTAATTCTGAATGCGAACCGCTTACAACACAACAAGAAAAAAATGGACCACTTAATTCCTCTGAAAACAAGGATGCTGACAAATGTCAAAGCAGTAGCTGTGAGAAAGAGCTACAGATTGACAAAGGAAGCACATTGTCAGGCAAAGAATTTAATTCTGAATGCCAACCGCTCGGAACACAACAAGAAAAAAACGGACCACTTAATTCCTCTGAGAACCAGGATGCTGACAAATATAAAAGCACTAGCTGTGAGAAAGAGCTACAGATTGACAAAGGAAGCACATTGTCAGGCAAAGAATTTCCTTCTGGTATAAAAGAACAGCAGACAATCTCAAAAGAGATGTCAGAGAAAGCTGGTCTTGCACACACAGGCAACATGGCAAAGTCATCCAGAAATAAAGTTGCCAAAACTAAATCCCTTTCAAAAGATGAAACCAAAACAGATTTGGCCACGAAATCCAAAATGGACATTCACAAATTTGTGAAGTCAGAAAGTGTTGACATTAAGCACTCTGAAGTCAATCAAGGAAAAAAAATGAAAACTTGTGAAGACAAAGCTGAAGGACAGAACTGCATGAAACAAAACGAGATGCTTAGGCCAGACATGGGAATTAACATCCAAGAGAAATCCACATTACCAGCAGAGATAAAAGATCAAAAGCTGAATAGTTACCGAACTGATGCCATAAAGTTCTCATATTTTGCTGCTATAGACTTGAAGTCAAGAAACACAAAATATTCTCAGCATAAATCTGTGAAAGTTAATCCTTCGCAGGAGCAGTCATACAAACGGAAGATGAAGGAAAATATGATTGGGAAAAGAGACCTTAAGAAAGCAAAGTTGGAAGAGGAAAGACTTACACAATCTGAAGCAAAGAATTCCAAGCAGCTTTCACATAATTGTGTGGTAAATACTGACAAAGCTAAAAAGCTGAATGGCGAAAATGGCCGGAAACCAAAGAGTTCCTTAACAGATCGCTCTGTGCTTAAAGTGCAGAGAAAAAGGACTCGATCTTCTACCATGTCTAAAAACTACTTTTCTAACAAGGAGAGACGTCTTGACAGTCAAAACAAGGACAAGTGCTCTGAGAAAATGTTTCCTGATAAAAATCTGCTATACTTAAATAGAAGAAATAGCAGATTAAAATTGCATCTTCAAAAGGAACCAAAAAAACACTACCTGAACAGAGTTGCATTTAAACGTACAGCACAGGAACGTATATATCTGACAAAATTAGAGACATCACCGGTCAGACCTGTCTGGCACAAAAAGACCAAAGCATCACAAAACAGTGATGCGAAAAGTGATGTGTCTGCCTTGGCAGCTGAGAAATCATGCACACAGGAAGTCCTTGAATTTAAGCTGTGTCCAGAGATACTGTTCAGAAGTCCAACCACTGATGAAGAAAGCTTAGCTACAGAGAATTCTGTGGAAGGAGATAAAGTCACTGTAGCAGGTATGACTCTATTATGGTTATTAATTTGTAAGTAGAAAGTATGTGCTCCTTTTAAATTTGTGTTGCACAAAACTGTAGACAGTGAAAAGATGAGACTTTAGAAGCTGAGGTTTGAGACAGCTAGCTCCCTGACAGGTGGTAGCTGAAAAACAAGACTTTTCCTTCAATGTAATGTTTTTTTCTGTAAGTTTTACAGAATGAAGTTCAAGTGCTTTAGAACGCGGCGGCTTTGTGTAACTTTGTGAGAAGGCTTTCTAATCTACTTGTAGAAGATAGCTTGGCTTGTTCTTAGAGAGCAGGTTCTCCTGGCATAATTACCAAAGGTGATCTGATCTGTATTCAGTGCTCACCTGGCTGTATGTAAGTCTGGCTGTGTAGACAGCGGAGGGAGAAATCTTTTGTGACATCAAGGAAGAGAGAGAGCTTGAGCCAGACATACTCTGCAGACAGTCTCCATAACCTTTGCCACCTTTGCTTTAAGCTGCCTTTTTTTCTTCTCTTCTTCCCCATCCCAAATATTTAGACATTTTACATGGTGCATTGTGAAGCATATTTATGTCAAATGCTGCATTTGATTCTTAGGTAAAACCACATCTGAAGTTGTACATACCAGCCCTCGCAGTCATTTTCGTACCCAAAGGAAATTTCCTTTTGCATGTGTTAATATATGTGTTAAAACATGATGCTGAATCGAGACCAAAGCTTGTGATATAGGAATCTCAAAATCATTTTTTTTCAAATTTTCTATTTAGGTGTCAAGAGTAAAAAAGAAGACTGGTTAAAATGCCAACCAGTGAAGCAAAAGAAACTGGAAGAAATCTCTACAGGTGAAATGACTTTTGAGTATCCGGGTTGAAATAGAAGTTAAATACTCTTTGCTTGGTTTTCAGTGTTCCTTTACAGTAGCAAACCTTAATAAAGTATTTTAACTTGTTCTTGACTAGTTCTGCTGATGAAATGGATACTGTAGAGTAGACATATGAGTTCCAAAACTTGTGGAGCTTTTTATTGCTGTATGAATATGTTGTTGGATATTGTTGAAGTTTTCCCGCACACCTGTGTGCCATTGAGTTGGATGTAGCACTGGTAACAACATTCAAGTACAGTTTTGAACTGTAGGTGAAGGCCAAACTAGTTCTTTCACACTTTAAAGTGTAGGAAGTGACGTGGCAAAATCTAGTGTGAGACTTTAGAAATGGCATTCACAGTAAGTTGCTGCTGTCCACGGTTACACCTGTGCTCCAAGTCCCAGGACCAGTGTGTCCCAGCAGTCTGGACAGGATTGCTTGTGTGATACAAAGAGGAAAAGTGGGGCCACCACTACATCTTCCTTGTTTTTCTTGATTGGCAAATTGCTTTTTGTATGGTCTTTTATACCTTTGGGAGTCAACTGTTATAACAGTTGCATCTTTCATCTCAGGATCTTGTTTGTTCCATCCTTTGTAAATCTTGGGTGAGGTTGCTTCCAGCTATCTTTGTTTCTTTGCTTTAAGTATCTTTCTAGCTATAGTCTTGTTTTCCTGCTGGTCTAACAGAAACAAAATGGTGCATTCAGTTTGCTGTAGCCTTGTTGCCATGCTCTTCTTAGCTGTCAGCAGAGGACTTGCATGCTCCTATCTGTGCTGTGGTGTTAATACAAACAACATACTCTGTAACATTTGCATCTTCTATTGCTGTTGCCTGTGTCTGCCATCCTTTTAGCCCATCCTCTTGTCTCTTCTCTTACTTTCACAAATGCACATACTCTGTCACACCTTTCTCAATCTTCAGAAATCTCTCTTGCAAAGAGGACACCCAAATGGCCATTTGGTGCTTAAAGATGCGTTGGAGATTGAAATCTGAGGTGTCTGGTGCTGTAGGAAGGAAGTTTGTGGCATCCTTCTTGATACTGGATGGCCTTAAGTACCACGTGCGTAAGGAGTGGAGTCATTTCAGACTCAGACTCTTGCTTTAACCTGCTTGTCTGTCTTGCAGCTGAGGACAGTATTCCCCTTGATACAGCTATACAGATCCTCGATGGAGATGGTGAGACTCTTCACATTCCAATGAAAGACTCAAAAGAGGTATTTCAGACCTACAGGAAAATGTATCTGGAAAAAAATATGCAAAAGTCTTGATAGCACTCCTGCATCAAAGGTCTTATTCAGTATCACTGAGAAAAAAATGATGCTAACACTAAGATGTTTTTTTTCTGTTTATATTGCTAAATAATTGTAAAAACTCCATGTTTTTTTTGGTAGGTGTTGGGAATTTCCCCCCCATTTGCCTCATATTTGTGAATAATAAACATTCTGTATTTATTGCACAAATATGCTTTGGTGCTGCAAATGCAGTTGTTAAATGTGTTGTTTCTTTTGGCATATTTGAATTTATTTCTTTTTTAAGATAGAGGAGTAGAATCTTGACCAAAAAAAGATCAAGCTCATTTAAATTGTCATAGCCTATTTCCTTTTCTGCTTGTTGAAAACTTGTACTTGTGGTACTTTCCATTGCTGGCAGTGGAAGAATATTCCTACTGGAAAGGGATTGCAGTGGATTCTCAAGCATTACACTTTTATTTTCCACTTGTGCCAGTGTGATTGTTTTGCTTCTAAATATGCTTTCTGTTTTTTGTAGAAACTTTTTTATTTAACTGGGAATACAAATATATATCCCTCAAATCAGTCATGGGTATTTATGAAGTACTTATGCTGCTACCCAGTTTTGTTACATTTCTTTTTGTGGAACTTGTACAAATTGAACTTTGAGTTCTTAATTTGAACGCAGTGCTGTAAACTTAGTTTACTGAAGACTTCTCTTGGTTTTTTTTCCTCTCTCTCTTCTTTCTTTACACTTGAAAGTGCAGGGAGTTTGAATTCACTCTTGTCTGGACTATGTTGCTCAGTTTAACCAGACTGTAAATTAATTTCTTTGTAAAGTGTTAGATAATGTTTGCACGTTCAGTGTGACATAAGAGTTATATTTGTTGCTGGGTATCTTTTGTTTAAGTGCCTTTTCATTATTGTTCAAAATTTTGAATCAGATAATATTTTTCCAGATATTTGGTACTTGGTTCTTCCTATCTTGTTAAAACTTTATGCTGAAAGAAAAACCTGTAGATATTTCATTGAATGATTTTTATACGTGAAATAAACTTTTGAGGACTATGCCATGTCTATTTTTTTCTTTTTTTTTTATTTTTAGTTTAAAAGTATGAAGTTGTGTTCATTGCAGTTAGTTAAATAGGCGTTGAAGATTCCTTTACATCAAAAGCAGCATAAGGTGCTGGATCTTCCTTCTTGAAAGGAAGTAGTTGCAAGTGAGAACTGGACTTAAGCCCAAGATTTTTCTAGTGAAATCCTAACAGCATGTAGTTACATTTCAGGAAACATCAGAAATGTGTTCTGTGCTCTTCAGAATATGTTTGGTTCTGGTTCCTGGTCAAACTTGGAATTGACTGTGTACTAAACCAGCCTTCAGTATTAGTCCATTTGTGAAGATGTATGCATCCATGCATCTTGGATATAACTGTCCAATGAAGCATAACTTCACAATATCCTGAATTAAAAATAGGCTGTCTGGGGAGAAAGAAGTCCTCCCCTTCCATCATGTGTATATTTCTTCTCTCAAACTAGGGAAGTTTTTAACTTGCTGTCTGACACAGCTCTCCTAATAACTTAGGCATTTTTTGGTTGTGTTTCTGGCTGGATGCCAAACTATTAGCCTGTGGAGAATTTACCACTGGAGGATTTCATAATAATGTTGGCAACTCCTTTGAAGGTTTTGTTTTGTATTTGCTGGGGAGTTTAGTTACCTGTATTATACTGTCTGCATTAAGGAAGATTCATTGCAGCCTTATGTGTATCCAGTGCAAACAACACATTGTTCCTGTCAAGAGTTTAGTCTGGACATTGTTCTGCACAATGATACATGAAGCTGACTTAAATGCTTGAGTGAATTCTTTTCAGTAGGAAATTACTCAGTCAATGGGCCCATGATGATTATATTCTAAATATTTGGAGAAGTTTGCTCACTGACCTTGTGCATCCATTAAGTGAGAATGCCAGTTTGGAGTCCCAGTGGATCTTCTTCCTCTCTTAGACCAAGGAGTGAATCTTGGCTGTGTGACTATGTTTACATGGTGACTTGTGCATCCACTGCTTTGGTATGGCTAGGATCTTTGGGACAGACTGGCCTCATACTTCCTGCCTGGTTCTTGTGTTGGCTCAGTTGTCCTGTAAGCCTTTACTTTGCACTTATAGTGGCCTCTTGCCTGTGCTATGCTGACACATAATTGCTGCATGCATCTGTGTGTGGAGATTCCTCCCTCGAGGGGGGACACACCTCAAGGTTTGTCATCTAGGCTAACATTGAACTCACCCATGGATGAGTAACATCAATCTCCACTTTATAATTTATTTTTGCTAGCTCTAACATAATTGTTTCAATATTGCTTCAAAAGTAGTGCCCTATACTACTATTTTTAGCTATATATAGTGATTATGGTATTTTAGTCTAATAATTATTATAATAAATGGAAAGAAATCTTTTATTTATATAAATATATTTGGGTTGCCATCCTTAATCCTGCAGGACAAAGTTGTATAAAGGCTCAATTACACCTATATAATCCTTTAGACATAAACTGCACCCAGACTCCTCTCGGAGAAGTGTTCAGAAATCCAAGGGGTCCTTTCTGCACCTCATGACTCAGCAGGAGTGTGTCTTTAATGAACTTTGTCTGAAGCTCCCATTGCCTCCAACACTAGTTGGTAAGTGATCTCGCTCTCTTTAGTTAAGCCTGAGTTCTCCCTTTCTCCTTTTTGCTAGTTCCTCCCCCACCCCCCTGGGAGGAATGAACAGGCAGTGGTTCACCACAGATCTAAAGGGGAAGATCACTCTGCCTTGAGAGAGCAGCAAACTTCTCTGTGAGCATAGTTCACAAGGAGCTGAAGAATTTAAAATCTACTCTTTGCCATGGCCAGGATGTTACATTACCATGTAGTCCATGTCCTCCAATCCTAGGCACGCTTTAGTTCTAAGGATGCCAGAAGTTGTGACACCAGAGCTCAATGTGTAATGTTACTTATAACCAAAAGGGTTTTTCCCCAAAAGAAAGGAGTAGCAGCAGTGTGGACACAAAATATCATCATGTGATTGTATCTGTTTAAGGGTCATAGAAATCATTCCACAAGCAGAGCTCAGAAAGTCCCCGATAACATCTACTCTTGCAACACTGTGACCTCGTGTTTTCACACCCCCCACTATGGGTTTCTTGGTCATGTAGCTGTAGAGAAACCTCTACCAGGGGAGGGGATGCAGCTTCTATTCCTCCAGATGACCATCCATTTTCCAGCAAGCAAAGAGTCTACATGAAATACCAGGTTCTGGTTTCTTCTCAAGGCTGTGTTCACCACTTCTCACCTTTCTCAGTGATTCCATTCTATCCTTGTGTGAGGAGCATTTAAGTTTCTTTCTTTTGTTAGCATGCCTAAAATAGTTTTCCTTTTTGCTTTGTTTTTGTGGTATGAGCAACACCTGTGAAACATAATGCTTTAAAGTAGAGACACTTACGGCTCTGCTATTATGAATTTTACTAATGATAATTTACAGAGTCAATACTTTTACTTAGACCAAATCATACCAGTTGGAAATAGCACAGTGGGACACAGGTCAGAAATGAGATGCATCAGAACTGAGAAATGGACCAAGACTTCCTCCAAAAATGAGCTTAATCACAAGTAACAAAGTATATCCACTTGCCTTGCAGGGAGACTTGATCTATGTATTCATTATATGATTACAGAAGAATTCTGTTCTCAAATAATTATTCATCTGTCCTGGATTCTGTTACTCCAGTGGTCTTTTCAACAGAGACAGTGTCTGTTAAGAGCTTCATGACAGGGTGGGTTAGCTGCCATCCCATTGAGAGTGGCCACCTGCTAGCAAGGTCTAACTCAGACGTAATTTCCAGCTGTTGTTTGCAGCTCCTAAGTTGTAGCTAGTACCTACACCAATTTATGAATTCTTTGTCCTTTCTACATCATATCCTTCTTCATTTGCTTATCATCATTAAAAATTGTTGAAAATTAATTGCTGATGAAGCCAAGACAGGTTTCTTTAGAGCAGGTTGCCTGAATTCTGCACCCTCAGCTTTTGTCTAAGAGTCAGCCATAGATGTGGCAACAGGTGTCTTTCCCAGATAGATCAATAATGTGGCCTGTGGAAGATAGTTTTCTTTTGTCAGAGGCAAACTGGATTTGTTTTATTAAAAATAACCCCAGTATGAAATCATACAAGAGGTTTTTGGTAGGCCCTGTGATGGGAATGCGGAAGCACAGATGCAGAGACAAAAAGCTGATCTGGAGTTTAGTTTGTAAACTGTTAGACTAAATGTTATAAGTTGCATTTCCCCTTTCTGTTGCACATCAGTGGCCTCATATTCTTTCTTTATAACTTCTGACAAGAAATTTTCCCTTCTTTCTCAGTTTTTTAAAGAGAAAAGTTGGAGACAGTGGAGGGTCACAGACCTCTACTACAGAAAAGAAACTGTTGAGCTGAGATGGACCAGTGACAAAATTGCCAAATCAGCACAAACATATTTAGCATTTCTTCTGATAGGACAGAGACTGGCCAAATCACAGACTTAACTATAAATGTAAAGCAGTAACAGAATTGCTGACCTGGAAGTAATATATTTAGCTACTTGCTGATTTAACATCTGGTAGACCATACGGTTGATGTTGCAAAATCACAGTGCTTAAAACAGCTGCAGGGTGAGGGAGAAGTGCTGTTATCTGTGGGTGAGCCTGGGGAGCTGACTCCTCAGGAAGGCAGCTGTGGGATGTGGATGGAGTGATGGGTTGCCTTTGGGGCAGACTCAGAGCTGACTCCCCAGGGACAATGAGCAATCTGGCTGCAGAGGAAGTACAGAAGATCACAGGTCACTGAAGCTGAGAGGATAAAAGGGGAGATCAAGTACCAAGAGGTAGCTTCAGCAAAATCACATTGAAAATCTGTCTGGGAATCCATGGCTACAAAGGCAAACATCTTTTCTAGACCACCTTGACACACGACATGGGACAACTTTCATGAGCATGGATGCTAAGGGTCAACAGCTGTGTCTTGCAGACCCTCT